CCCCGTCAGCGCCTGCGTCCTGCATGGCTGCTGCTCCGCCTCCGCCTCCGCCCCCGGAGCGCCGACCGCGGCCCGCCGCTCTCTCCGCCGCCGGCGGTTGGATGCAGGCGCCTGGAGAAGCCCCGCCCCTCAGCGCTGGACTCCACCCCCGGGCGCCTGCGCACACAGGTTCCTCGTGCGGCCACGGGGCGCGTGGTCGGTTTCCGCCCAGCCAGCCCTACCACAGCCCCCGGAGACCTTGTCGGGCACGGAGGGACTGAGGTTCCTCACCGACCTCTGCTCCGCTCGGCGCCAAGACTCCACCCCGTGCGCCTGCGCACACAAGCTCCTCTTGAGGATGCCAAACGCGTGACGTTCCCGCCAAGCCGGCCCTGCTAGAGCCTCCGGGGCCCCCATCAGTGCGGAGAGACTGAGGGCCCCTCACCAAGCTCCGCCTCTTAGTGCAGGCGACGTTCCGCAGGGCGCCTGCGCAAACAAGCTCCTAGTGAGTCCTGCAGGTGTGTGCCTGGCCCTGCAGCGGGCCCCCAGGGAGCCCATTAGGGGCCACAGACTGAGACTCCCTCACCAAGCTCCGCCCCTTGGCACATGATGCGACTGGGGTTTCCCAGCGCGCCTGTGCAAATGGCCCTGCTTCGGGCTCAGGAGACCCCATGGGTTGCCAAGGCACTGAGGCTCCGTCACGAAGCTCCATCGCTTAGCACGTGACCCCACCGCTGTCGTCCTTAGGGTCTCAGCTACGATGCCACCTTGGAGAGGCCTTCCTGAGCGCCAGTCTAACAGCGCCCCTAGGCACTGCTGCGTATCATCTATAATCTAAAATTATATTCTTGTCTGTTAGTTTACATCTTTATTGTTGATCTGTCTTCTCTGGTACCTTTTCTTTTTGTCCAGTGCTGTATTTCCAGCGCGCAGAACAGTGGCTCCCTGCAGTAGACAGTTACTTGTTGAGTAAAACAGTACTAAGGAAGTACACTGTGGTGGCTTGCGTGTTGCTGTGATACTGGAAGATTTGCCACCAGTGTTTCAAATACCAGCAGGGTCACCCATGGTGGACAGATTATAGCGGAGCTGCCAGACTAAGACAGACTAGAAAGAAGGACCTGGCGGTCTACTTCTGATAAAAATTGGCCAGTAAAAAGTTTACCAATAGTAGTGGGACATTGTCTGATACAGTGCTGGAAGATGAATCCCTCAGGTTGGAAGGCACTCAAAATACGACTTGAGCTGCCTCCTCAAAGTAGAGTCGACCTTAATGACGTGGATGGAGTTAGGCTTTTGGGACCTTCATTTGCTGACGTGGCACAACCCAAAATGAGAAGAAACAGCTGCAAACATCCATTAATAATCGGAACGTGAAATACACGAAGTATGAATCTAGGAAAATTGGAAGTCGTCAAAAATGAAATGGAATGCGTAAAGATCAATGTCCTAGGCATTAGTGAGCTGAAGTGGACTGGTATTGGCCATTTTGAATCAGATATTCATATGGTCTACTATGCCAGCAATGACAAATTGAAGAGGAATGGCAGCGCATTCATCGTCAAAAAGAACATTTCAAGCTCTATCCTGAACTACAACGCTGTCAGTGGTGGGATAATATCCATACGTCTACAAGGAAGACCAGTTAATACGACTATTATTCAAATTTACGCACCAACCACTAAGGCCAAAGATGAAGGTACTGAAGATTTTTACAACTTCTGCAGCCTGAAATTGATCAAACATACAGTCAAGATGCATTGTTAATTACTGGGTTTTGGAATGCGAAAGTTGGAAACGAAGAAGTATCGATAGTTGGAAAATATGACCTTGGTGATAGAAACGATGCCAGAGATCGCATGATAGAATTTTGCAATACCAAAGGCGTATTCATTGCAAATACCTTTTTTCAACGACGTAAATGCTGAGTATACACGTAGACCTCACCGGATGGAAAACATAGGAATGAAATCGACTTCATCTGTGGAAAGAGATGATGGAAAAGCTCTATATCATCTGTCAGAACAAGGCCAGGGGCCGACTGTGGAGCAGACCATCAGTTGCTCATATGCAAGTTCACGTTGAAGCTGAAGACAATTAGAGCAAGTCCACGAGAGGCAAAATACGACCTTGAGTATATCCCACCTGAATTTGGAGACCATCTCAAGAATAGATTTGAGGCGTTGAACACTAATGACCGAAGATCAGACGAGTTGTGGGATGACATCAGGGACATTATACATGAAGAAAGCAAAAGGTCATTAAACAGACAGGAAAGAAAGACTTTGAACTCTTGAACATCGAGTAGCTAAAGGGAATGGAAGAAATGAAGTAAAAGTGCTGAACAGAAGCTTTCAAAGGGCGGCTTGAGAAGACAAAGAGAAGTATTATACTGAAATGTGCAAAGACCTGGAGTTAGAAAACCAAAAGAAAAGAACGCGCTTGGCATTTCTCAAGCTGCAAGAACTGAAGGAAAAATGCAAGCCTCGAGTTGCAGTTTGAAGGGTTCTATGGGGGAAATATTGAACAACGCAGGAAGCATCAAAAGAAGATGGAAGGAATACGCAGAGTCGCTGTACCAAAAAGAATTGGTCGATGTTCACCCATTTCAGGAGGCAGCATATGATCAAAACCCGATGGTACAGGAGGAAGAAGTCCAGGCTGCACCAAAGGCATTGGCGAAAAACAAGGCTCCAGGAACTGACAGAATACCAACTGAGATGTTTCAACAAAGGGATGAGTGCTGGAGGTGCTCACTCGTCTATTGCAAGAAATTTGGAAGACAGCTACCTGGCCAACTGACCGGAAGAGATATTTGTACCCGTTCCAAAGAAAGATGATCCAACCGAATGTGGAAGTTTTCTATCAATATCATTAGTATCACAGGCAAGTAAAATCATTCAAAAGCGGTTGCAGCAGTGCATCGACAGGGCACTGCCAGAAATTCAAGCCGGATTCAGGAGAGGACGTGGAATGAGAGATATCATTGCTGATGTCAGATGGATCCTGGCTGAAAGCAGAGAATTCCAGAAAGATGTTTGCCTGTGTTTTATTGACTATGCAAAGACATTCAACTGTGTGGATCTTAACAGATTATGGATAACGTTGTGAAGAATGGGAATCCCAAAACAATTGTGCTCATGAGGAACCTCTACATAGATCGAGAGGCAGTCGTTCGAACAGATCAAGGGGATACTGCATGGTTTAAAATCAGGAAAGGTGTGTGTCAGGGTTGTATCCTCTCACCATACTTGTTCAATCTGTATTCTGAGCAAACAATCCGGGAAGCTGGACTATACGAAGAAAAACGCGGCATCGGGATGCGAGGACAACTCATTAACAACCTTCAATATGCAGATGACACAGACTTGCTTGCTGAAAGTGAAGAAAACTTGAAGCACTTACTGATGAAGATTAAAGACTACAGCCTTCAGTATGGATTACAGCTTAACATAAAGAAAACAAAAATCCTCACAACTGGACCAATAAACAACATTATGATAAACGGAGAAAATATTGAAGTTGTCAAGGATTTCATTTTACTTGGATCCACAATGCCCATGGAAGCATCACTCAGGAAATCAAACCACGCATTGCATTGGGCAAATGTGCTGCAAAAGATCTCTTTAAAGTGTTAAAAAGCAAAGATGTCACTTTGAGGACTAAGGTGCACCTGACCCAAAGCATGGTGTTTCAATTGCCTCATATGCATGCGAAAGCTGGACAATGAATAAGGAAGATTGAAGAAGAAGTGATGCCTTTGAATTATGGTGTTGGGGAAGAATATTGACTATACCATGGACCGCCAGAAGAACAAACAACTCTGTCTTGGAAGAAATACAGCCAGATTGCTCCTTGGAAGCGAGGATGGCAAGACTTTGTCTAAAGTACTTTGGACATATTTTCAGGAGGAACCAGTCCCTGGAAAAGGATGTCATGATTGGTAAAGTAGAGGGTCAGCAAAAAAGAGGAAGACCCTCAACGAGATGGTTTCACACAGTGGCTGCAACATTGCGCTCAAACATAACACCGATTGTGAAGATGGCGCAGGGCTGGGCAGTGTTTCGTTCTATTGTACATAGGGTCGCTATGAGTTGAGTCTTAGTTATCTAGTGCTGCTGTAACAGAAATACCACAAGCGGATTGTTTTAACAAGGACAAATTTATTCTTTCACAGTCTAGGAGGCTAGAAGTCTGAATTCAGGGTGCCAGCTCCAGGGGGAAAACTTTCTCTCTCTGTCGGCTCTCAGGCAAGGTCCTTGTCATCAATCTTCCCCTGGTCTAGAAGCTTTTCAGCCCAGGGACCCCAGGTCCAAAGGATGCGCTCCCCTCCTGATTCTTCATTCTTGGTATTGTGAGGTCCCTCAGTCTCTCTGCTTGCTTCTCTTTTTTTTAATCTCCAAAGAGATTGCCTCAAGATACAACCTAATCTTGTTGATTTGAGTCTTGCCTCGTTAACATAACTGCCTCTAATCGGCCTCATTAATATCATAAGAGTAGGATTTACAACACATAGGAAAATCACATCAGATGTCAAAATGGTGGACAATCACACAATACTGGGAATCATGGCCTAGCCAAGTTGACATACATTTTGGGGGGGACACAATTTAATCCATGACAAGTTGGAACTGACTCAATGGCACCTAACAATAAAAACAAGGAAGTACAAAACTCAATGACTGTCTTTGACCTAGCAATTCCAGAATTCACAGAAGTGAAACAATATATGCACAAGGTTTCTTTCTGCAACATAATTGGTAATAGAAAAATGGGCACAATTTAAATGTCCACCAAAAGGGGATTGGCTAAATAAACTATGGTACATCGACACGATAGTCCTATGCAGCCGTAAAAAAAAGAAAAATTCTGTATGGAA